CGAGCCGGCCGGCCCCGCGCGCGGAGCGGAGAGCGGGGGGCGCTCGGGACTCCCGGGCCAGCTCTGGACACGCCGTCCGCGCGTCCTCGGGCCCCGGGCGCAGCTCCGTCCTCCGCCACCCTGTGCATGCGGCCTGCCACCCGCCCTGCGCCCGCGACCCGACCCGGGGCCGGCCTCCCACGATCGTGTTCACCGCCGTGAACTGGCTTCCGCCCGAGGAACTGCACGAACACCCGTGTGGATTTCAGCGTGGCCGGCGGGGCCCCCCCCGGGGGCAGGGGCCCTGCGCGTCGTCGCCCGTCCCCGCCCCCAAAGGCAGCAATAACCGCACCTGAGCCGAGGTGGGGGTGAGGGGGGACCTGAACTCCGCAAGTCGTGACCCTTCTGCGGGGGACCTGACTCGTGGGCATGGTCCTCACGGCCACGTTGGGCCCCAAAGCACCGAGGTTAGGGCTCCTTGGGCCGCAGAACAGGCTGACTTTATAACTTTTCCAGTCTTGGATTCCCCCCCCCTACACCCCCGAACGGACATGGTTTTGGTTGGTTTGTTTTTTGGCTGTTTTACCGAATTCAGACGCCAGTCACGCGCACGGGCACCCAGGGGCGCGTGGGTGTCGGGCGCACAGCGGAGGCAGCATAAACTTTCGTGAAACGCAGTCAAGTGCAATACTGTACATAGGATAGATTTTAAAAAAGAACAGCCGGGCGCTCTTGACCTGTCGGCCTTGGACTTTTGGGGGGGGGTCGCCCCCTCCCACATGCCGAGGGTCTGCCCGGCTGGGGCCCGCTGCCCACGGGCGGCGGGCAGGGTGCTGTGGGTATGATGCAAGCGAGGTGCGTGGCCTGGGCCGGGGTGCCAGGATGTGACGCCGGTGGCTGAGCTGTTTCTGGGACGGGAAGGGCCAGGCGAGTCCTCCGGGCAGTGAGTCTTAAGATCATGTTTTATAGACGGACGTGGGCAGTTCCAGCTTTTCTTTCTTTTCTTCCTTTTTTTTGTTGTGTTTGTGTTTTTTTTTCTCGTCTCCTTCGGTTCTTGGCATGGGTTCTTGGCTGGCATGGGAAGGCAAAGTCAATCGACATGACGTCACCCAACGGGCAGGGGCCCCAGCTATGCCCCTGAGTTTGGGGTGACGAGCTTTGCCTGGGCCCTGAGGGTTTGGGGGGAGCGTTGCCGTGCTGGGCATGTCCACCTGGGGGGCAGCCTGTGCGTTTGCTCCTCAGTCACCCCGGCCTGTCCAGTGGAAGTGAGCGTGTCCCCTGTCCTTGTGCCAGCCGCTAACCTGCCATCCGGGGTGCGTTCACTGAAGCTCAGTGGGTCACCCTCTTTCCAAAGGAGGTTTCCGTCTTTCTGTAACATGTTTCGCATCGGCCGTGTTCTCCCCTTACCCCCGGTGTCGGTACATTTCTCAAAGGGGGAAAAAAAAATTTCCTTCTGTGAAAGGGAACTCTTTCTACCTTTTCTGGGAGCTGAAACATAGATGTATTTGGACGTGTCTCATTTGTATCATGTGAAACTTTATACAAATCAAAAGGCTCCTTCAGCTTTTCTTTTTTTTTGGAGGGGGTGTGTGTGTGTGGGGGGAGGTTGAAATTTTAGTAAAGCTCTAAAGTGACAGAGACATGAAGAAAGCAGGGTTCGTGCGCTTAAATCACTTGCAACTTTTTTTGTGTCAGACGTTAATGGCTTTAGAGGGTTGCCTCGTACGTGCAGTTTTGCTTTTAAACAGCTGTGAATAAAAAAAAAAAGGTCCACTATGTAAGCTGGAATTCTCCTTTAATGCAA